TGCTCATACAGCTTTGCCAAGGACACCATTCAATCATCGCCTGGTCTATCCGTCATTACCACGAATTCCAATGCATCCGCAGAATCTTACAAAATGTTACACTGGATCTTTCTCTTCACGCGATCCCTGCTTCCACTCGACCCTCGACCCCCCAACAACCTCACCAGCCAGAAGGAGTCGACTCTGAAGACGTCTCTGGGAGACAGTCTTTGGAATATACTAGGGAAGAAGAAGAACAGGAACAGCAGCACGCATACCCCCCATGACCCCTGCCAGCAGTCGTCCAGAACTCTGGGAACCCTTGGGCAACAGGGTTCCAACGACCTAGGCCCGACGCCCCCACCCTATCCCCCCAGCGCAGCATCCGAGCAACAAGGACACCAACCCCCGTCTCTGGCACTGGCAATGGGCGCAATGCCAGAGACTCCTTGGACGGCTCACAGATGGCTCGAGGGACCAGTACTAGGACTAGGGGATCCCATCATACAGCGTCAGTACGAGAAAATAATACTGACAACAGGACAGAGGCCAGGAATGACCTCAACCGGCAGCACGACTGGTGGCACACCGCCGTTCAACTACATGTCGACAATGAGATCTACAGGGAGAACGACCTCTTTGGGAGGTATCTCCGAGCACAGGAGGAGGAGCAGCGGAGAAGAGAGGCTGGAAGTACCGACACCATCACCCTGGTCGACACCAGCACCCTCAACTCGCAACTCCAGTACCCCACCCCTTCCCCCACTGAATCAGACCCATGGGCAGCGCCCATCGACAGAGTCATCTACAGCGACAACGTCCCAAGACAAGAGGAGCTCGATGCTGACAATGATGAGCTCAACAACAGCCGCCCATTGTCATATAGAACGGACACCATTGCAGACACCGACAGCATTCCAACTGGCAGGAACGAAATACCGGCAGATCGGGGATCGATTGGAGGGGACAGTCAGCACATCGACCCCACAGGAGACCTCAAAAGGTTTCTTGATGGACCAGTGGCTGCCCTTTTCCTCCAACCCCGATTCTACCAAAATTTCCATCGATATAGCCGAGCAATGGCGACAGACACAGCAGGGGGAGAGGCCCAGCAGGAGCAACAACAACCTGGGTGGGAGCCTTCTCCTCGCCCCGGCCCAGAAGATGCTGGACCAAGTACGCAACCCCAGACCCGCCAAACCAATAACTTATGACCTGGCCGAAATTTCCCTCCTCGGGGGGGAAATGGAGGACCGGGACGATGGAATGGATGATGAGGCCGGGGAGGGGGATTCAGAAAGGAGGGTCAGGGACCTTCCCTCTGAATCCCAAGAAGTTTTCCAGTATACAGCCACCGGAAAGGCCGTTTTTAATTCTAATAAACGATTTTTGTATTACCAGGAGGAACCGATACAACCATACGAGCCGAAGTATGAAAAGAGGATGGCACCCAAGCCGTGGACGCTGAATACACGGCCCTTTAATTCAGCATCCACGGCTCCGTCAACCTGAACGGCACCACCTCAGCACTCGCATAACACTGGCACCATGCCGGGAACGGCATCTCAGCATAATAGGACCCAATCACAGGCAACCCAGCAACATCTAGGACAAAGGAAGTTGCCGACAGCGCCGCAATCACCCACCGAGCAGCCACCCCCATATGCAGAAATCCAAGAATGAGCACGACCGCCTGATGGTGGGATCCCGACCCTGACAGTTACTATTCCTGACATCTATAGACAACAGATGAAGGAACACAAGCTGGCAGGAAAGACGACTACCGACTACTTCACGACACTAGAACGACTTGGTACACTCGCTGGGGTATGGGATGACACCACCGACACTGGATACATGGTCAAATATATCAAGATGGGACTACCACCCATCTACCTCATGACGATCAAGGAACAGTATATCCTGAATGGCTACGACAAATGGAAGGGTCGAACCATCGAGATATACAAACAATGACAATGACAAAGGGCCAAAATGATCGCCCTGGCATATGGCCATGGGATTCAGGGGCCGGAGGGGTCGGATATTGACCAAGTCTAGGAACTCGGCCATGGACTAAATTGATAAACTGACATTTTCTTTTCTATAATAGATACTGTGCCTACATGCACATAATTTTAAATTACTAATGGACACATCATAACGACACCATACAATGATCCGCTCTTCAAAGAAGACAGATATTGTTCGAACCAATGGAACCTGGAACGCTACAGAATGATTCTGGGAATCATGATCGGCAAAAAGGAACCGCAGCACAAGTACCGATCAGAGATCGGAACCAACACAGAAGGAGCTATAATCCTTCCATGGATTGATCAACTTCTACCGGCGGATCATTCGACGACATGATCCGACCAAGAACACGGACTAGGAATTCCCCAAGGGAGCGGGAAATTTCTGAACTAGAAACCGCAGACATTATCCTATCTATGCTAAGACAGGATGGAGAAACTGACTCCGGGGAGCCAGGATTCTCGACGACCTGGCAGAAGGAACACTGCCATGTCAAGACACCCGAAGACACACCCCTTCCCGAAAGTGACAGCTATAACGACATCATCGTTGATCACTTCTTGAAGAAAATCATTCAGATCACAGACTTAACAGAATTGACATCCTGGGGATGGTCAAAAAGGAACTTGCGACAGGAACGAGATACGGAAAACTTCTCGCCATAATACCCACACCAGAGACAGGATTATCTCATTGGAGTAGCATCGATCTCAAATGATCTAGATAGATCAGGAAAACTGTCAAACATGATGGGTCGGCAAAGAACAAAAGGAATCATTCTTGACATGATATTGATGGTCCAAGATGGACTATAATATCACCCGATATGTCAAGAATAACAAGGACCATAGACTGGAAAATCCTCCAAGGGAACGGGGGATATTCAAGAACAAATGGAGAAATTTGCTCGAAATCCTCGAAAGCACACCTCTCGCTATACACCTTATCCGTAGGGTAACAGTGATATTTCATTGGGGGAATCGGGGATGGATGGTGATAAGCCGTTCATGAAGGACGGAATTTCCCCGACACCGATCCAACGTACCAGATCAAACTAGAACCCTGTCACTCAATCAGTGATGGGAACCGAGCGACGACAGGGACAGTAATTCATGTGAAATGAATTCAGGAAGGGTCTCTTCATCACCAGAGAATCATATCTACGAAGATATAATTATTCGGAATTCCCCATAGACTTGGGGAACTCCGAATGCGTGGCATTCAAATGTTGAATGGCCAAGAACGTTATCTTGTCCAGACCAAGTCAAGATAAAGAAACAGACCCTGGAGAGATTGAATACACCCCTTGCCATAATGAGCATACCCGCAGAGTAACAACATTATTTCATTGGAGAAGAATCAGATCAATGGGGCCAACGGCAAGCCAAAAAGGAATCTCGGTAGTGTCACGAATTGCCAGGGGCAAGCTCTTGACAGAATCACGATGTCCCCACGACATCAAGAGAATCACACCTATACCTTCCCAAAAGGAATGCAAATGACTCGGCAATCATCATTTGCAACAACCTTCTCGAAGACCATAACAAAACTTCCCAAAAGTGACAGCCATGATGCAATCATGATCATAGTTGATCACTTTGCAAAAGACAATCATTCCGATCAATACCTTGACTGATTGGGAATAACCAACCAGCCAATGACGAGGGAATGTTACACCGGTAACGAAGCAAACTAGCAATGGTGGGGACATACAGCGAAGAGCAATGTGCCCCACAAACACGATGGATCTACAGACAGCCTGCGATGGATCGAAAGTCACGATATAACAACCGCCCTCGCAGTTCGAGATCCTGCAACAAGATGATGAACCTACGAATGGGTCCAGCAGACCGCCCACCTCCCGCCTGGGGCGGGGGGCTCCCCTAACTTGACCATCGGGACGATGGTCTTACGGAGGGGGTAATGTTACGATTTTTCCATTTTCCTTCTATTTCTTTTTCCTTTTCCTTGGAAAGGACCCCTATCTTTGCTTAGTCAGAGCGCTTAGACCAGTGCTTATGACCGTGGGAAGGATTAGCTCAGCAACCCAGACAATCCGACTCTTATCATATAGCTGTGTGCTATGAAGGGAGAGGCAATGCTCGTTTCGTTCTCCAACTGCGCCACAGCAGTAATGGTACACAGCAGGACTATGGACTTTGTGGAAAGCTGAGTCACCGCAGCAGTAACAGCTACATAGCACTACAGCATCTTTCTGAACGTCTATTTATAATCGACTAGTATTTAAGTAGCTTAGTTCTCGCTGTAATACCTCAGTCTCGAACTAAAGTTTATACGCCACCATCTTATCTCGAGCTCAACTAATTCATCAAGCCTTGAACCACACAACACTCCCAACACACAAAGTGAACTCAGCCAGACACACCCGAAGTACGAGGTGCCGAGCCATTTATCACGTGTTGAATGTCACGTGGGATTTGGGTCTAACAGGCCTCAGGGTCATCCTTCTTCTCATCAGTGGGCTCTGATCCACTTGCTTCATTGGGAGGTGGCTGTCCTCCCAATAATCGGCTTCCTGTGCTGGTCCAGGGATTCAGATAGTATATCCTTGGCTGTCCATATGACTGGGTTAGCCGAGATGCCATGCTACAGATGGCCGATGTGGCGAGCGAGTATCTTGATGTCACCGTTCGAATTGAGGATGCCATGTTTGCTGACTTGGGTGGCATCACTCTTAGAGTTCATGGCATCGGTGCCTCTCATTTGCTGAACCTTGATTGATATGGTGGCATCACCATCATCTGGTAATGTAAGAAGCGCTGATTAAAATTAAAAATGGCATGCTCCGTCGTGGCATACTATAAAATCTCTTCCTGCTTGATGAAATCAGCAGCAGTATACCTTCACCTCAGGGATGATCGTAGCCAGCGATCATCTCTCCATAATTCAGCTACCTGCTCTTGGTATAGCCGAATAAATTCCTCCTCCCGCACCTCTCGTTCCTGTCATTTCCTCTCTTGCTCTTAGCACATGATCATGCTGATGATACTTCTCCACTCAAGGATGGGGTCCACTGCTTGGCCCCCTTGGTCCTCCTCCTCAGCCTCGTTGTCCTTTTCAGCCCTCTTGTCAGTGGTTCCCTCACAGAGGGAACTGCCTTGCTGGCTGAAGGTTTCCAGGGCAGATAGGTCGGGGCTGAGCACTTGACTCAGTGTTGTCAGGTCCAGATCGAGGAGTAGGCTCCCGGTTGGGCTGCTCCTCTTCTTCTTCTGCTGGTGGTGCCACTGCTCTGCAATACCAGCAGAAGTTTCTGTAGAACCTGGGATGGAGGAAAAGGGCAGCAATTGGCCCATCGAGGACTCTTTTGAGGTCCCCAGTGGGGTCAATATGTTTGTCATCACCCCTGATTGATCCGAGGTTTGACAGTATCCCATTTCTCTGGATGGGGATATCATCAGTTTCAGTGATGGTGTCTGTCCCATATGATAGTGGGCGGTCATCGTCGAGGAGTGTCGGCTCCCCATGGTGGTAGTTGTCGGTATGGACGATTCTGGCTGGTCTGGTCTAGGGGTCGGGCTCACTGACAGGAGTGGCCAGTTCTCAGAACAGAGAGTCGGGAGTGCCAACTGCAGTATCGAGGTAGTTGGCAAGGGAGTGGGGGGTCGGCCGTATTGGGTTTGGTACCACTGGACTATGCCTTGGTAGGCATGAGGCTCCTTCTTGGTCTTGTTCCAGTCTACTGGCCACTCTTGATGCTGCTTGCCAGTATTGGACCTCATCCCTGTTAGTGTCATCAAAGAAAGGGTTGGGACTACTGACTCTTGTTCCTCTCCTATCACTTCTTGTTGATGAGGGGTGTCAGGACTGGTGCCTGTCAGCACTTCTGGCGACTGGAGCCATCCAAACGGCATCCAGAGAGTCTTTAGCCTGGCATCCAATTTCAGACTGGGCGACAGTTGTTCTTGACACAGTGAAGCTGCACTCGACAGGGGGGATGAGAGTGTCAGGTTGAGGTCATCAAAACCCTGTAGCCCAAGGGTTTCTAAGATCTCAGACGATTGCCAACAGGGGTCTTAGGGAATACTCGTGTTGCTGCTGCTGCTGCTCCTCTTCCCTAGAACGTTCTTCAGTCAAGTGCCCAGGCTTGTCTTCTGTTTCTTCAGGGTGTCGAATGGAGTTTTAGACAGAGGCAGGGATGTCATGAAGGGGGAGGTCTGGCATGACATTTTAAAGGATTGTGCAGATACACTGGAACTCTTGGTAGTGTCGAATGGCCCAGGCGGTAATAGATTAGCATCCATGGCACAGCTGTATGATCACCAATAAGCTGATCAAGGTTTCAATGATAGAAGCCAAGAGTTCAAAGAACTCGTGAGTAAAGTTTAGGTCAGACAGATTTAAAGCAGGGAGCATTCAGTTTCTCAGCATGGTTGGGCCTGAGAAAGAGAAGCAAGAAGCTTCAAGCTAATTGTTAAGCCCAAACTCCACATGACTATTAACACGTAATAAACAGTTTGGTACCTCGTACTTTAGGTATGTCTGACTGAGTTCACTGATGTGTTAACAGAGTTGTGTGATCAAGGCATTACAAGTTGCTTGAGATAGGATGGTAGAGAATAAACTTTAGCTCAAAGCTGGGGTATTACAGCAAGAGCTACACTACTTATATACTGTTCTGTTATCGTGCTATAAATAAATATTCACAAAAGATATTGTCTGTCATAGAGCTGTTACCCCTGCTGTTGCCAGGCTCTCCACAAAAGCTGTTGTCTTGCTGTTGTGTTGTGGTCGTTGTACTGCAAGTTAGAGATAAAAAGGGTATTGTCTCTCTCTTCACAGCTCACAGCAACATGATAGGAGAGTGACCAACTGGGTTGCTGAGCTAAGCTTTCCCATGGTCCTAAGTGCTGGCCTAAGTGCCCTGACTAAGCAAGATAGAGGTCATTTCCAAGGAAAGAGAAAAGAAAATAGAAGAAAATGGAAAAAATCATAACACCAACAAACAATGACTCAAATGTTGGCCAATCATCATAGTTTAGTGCAGTATATAGAGCCTCCAGAGATACATCCAGCCAGCTGCAGTTACAGCTGCAATCCTTTGAAGATAAGATATCATTAAAGAATTATTTTACAGCCTTTGCTCAGGCATCAGCATTAATATGTGATATTTCAGCATTAATCTGAAGATCAGGCAATGATTGAGACATAGGTTTAGAATCACAATCTTCAGATTCCTCAGAGTCATAGACAAGAGGATTGAAGTGGTCTCTGCATAGCTGTCTCTATAATAAGAGAGATTCTTCACTTTTGACAGGTTTTTTCTTCTGCTTCTTTGGTTATTTTTTCCACCACTGAAGAGAGAAGAAATCAATATTCTGATCTGGTACTTGATCTTCTTGCTGTGTGATTCCATGCTGCAAAGCATATTTTGGATTATGAGATTTCTTGGTATGCCCATATTGCAATTGCTGGTTCTTTCTGTATTGTAGTAGCAATATTCTGTGATAAATAGATATACCATTTATATCACAAGTATACAATCAAATTCCTCTATGATAGGAAAATAACAGAGACTCACAGAGTGCTTGATCATACAGAGAATGATAGTACTTTTTGACTTGAAGAAGACCATTCAGATCTGGCATAATATCATGCTTCTTGCCAACAAGCTGATAAATCTTGAAATGCATTGCTTCTTCAGCATTTATACTATCTGAAAGTGTATCTCACATGATAGCATTCATATGTCATTGAGATAGAAAGATCATCAAAGTGTAATCAGAATGTAATCACCAGTTTAGCTATGACAAGATTTTAGAAAATCTGCTTTAAATTTTAGTAATGGTGCTCTGGAATACTTTATCATCTTCACTTCAATAAAGCAGATTTGTCAAGTCTTTGAATTTATCTGCCTGGTCAGATAGTATAATACCATCTAGTCACTTAATATGAGTTGCAGCATTGTGAAAATATTGTTAGCAGCCCTTGAAGAGTGTTTTTATTGCTATGACAAGATCATTGGGTGAATGTCCATTATTTCTTTGCAGTCAGAAGTTGATGAAGGCCTTCTTGAACCCAATTCACTGTGGTTCACTAAAATCAACAACCCATAAGAAAAAATATGAGTATACATTATATATTCCAAATGTTAGCATATAAAAGGTTTAATGTACATCTGCAAACATCTCATCATGGATTTCCATTTTCTTTATAGTAACAACCTCAGCAATTGACTCCAAAACACTCTTGAAATAATAGTGACAATATTCTGCTGATGTACCATTGAAAACTGAAAAGACCAGAAGCTCAGAATTCTAAGATATCACTGAATACTGATGTCACAATAAGGAGATACTGCTCAATTGCCCAGTATCCATATGTTGTGTCTGATAGAAGTCTATTGAGAGCATCCTCATGAAGATTGTGGATGTCTGAAATGAGCATATCTCTCATTCATATTGTCTAAATAGAAATAATTGTTATGTTGCTCTTATTCTGATAAGTTTGTATAACACTAAAATGATTACACTATCAGTTAGAGAATTGAGTGAGGTACCAGACACTGCTTTCAGCCATTATTCTAGCTGTGACTTGATGATATTCATATTTGACCCAGTCTGGATGTCAAGTAGCTTGAGAAATATCTGTAACACTATGAACATATTCATTCAACTGTGAAGATTCTAATATGAGCACTACAGGACCTAGCTTCAGATGTGATTTTACAAGCTCAGAGAATTCTGCCTCCTCTGTATGTGACATGTGTAAGACATAACTGAAGCAGAAATAGTTGTGAGGCTCTTTATTGATGTATTGGTATCCTGCTTTCCACTGTATAAGATACAATCTTGATCTGCAGTTAAAGTATATTAGCTTGGAGATACAGATACACTATTCCTTGAGCTGCTGCTTATGATCTTGCAATGTAACTTATGGATAATAACCAGCAGAACAGGCAGGATTGTCACATCTGAGAATTTCTAGACATTATTTGTTGCTGATTTTGCCACTATTCACAGTAGGTGTGTCTTTAGAGCTGTCAATATCACTGCCATTGTTTTTGGTAGACCAATAAACCATCAAATCCTTAGTCTTATAAAAGTCTTTGGCTGATATAACAAGTGCAAGTCTATCTGAACACCAGCTGTTTCAGCCACCCTCAATTTGTTTCAGAGATATAAAGATGACCCCTTCATCAATTCCTCATCTGGCTTCTGATTGTGGGGAATTCTTGATGATGATATACAGTTGATGGTGCCAGATCAGATAGATTGGACTGCTGCCAATGAGTAAAATTATGATCTTCATTTGCCATCAAAGATTTTGGATTCAGCTTTAGCTTTGTTGTCATGGCAGTTTTCATAGTGTATAGTTGGGATTGAGAGGCAGCATTAACCTGAGACAGGACAGTCATAGCATTTGTTTGACAAGATATTGTATTCTGCTCAATTGGAACATAACATCTGTTCTCAAGATAGCAAAGAACAATAGACACCACAGGATCAGAAGGCACTTGTAGAATAGATATGAATGATATATTAATTCATCTGGAATCAATGAGTGTTTTGATTCAACTTGAAAAAGAGAATAAATTCTCAAGCATGTTATAAATTGTGTCACTAATACACTATCAGAATCAAATACTGGGATAAACCCATCCATATTTACAAGAGATGTCAGCTCCATACATGCTGATGCTTGTTTAGTGTCACAGTCAGGCTTAGTTTGATCAGTACAATGATGCATGAGGACTTGAGCATTATAAGCAAGTAGTCATCTTGTCAAGGTGCATGCAAGGTGCTTCTATCAAATAAAGTAAGCTTCAGGCAGCAAGGTGTTATGGAAGTGCTGACTGACCAGCATGTAGACAAGAGAAATGGCATATCTGAGGGAGAGAGAAAGTGCAAGAGAAAAATAGTGTTGGCATATCAAGCAGAGCTGCTTTTATTTTTGGACTTCCCATTAGCTATATGTGCAAGGTAAGTTCAACCAAAAACTTTACTGTAACAAGGTAATTAAGACCTAGTATGAAACAATAAGAATAGGTGTGAAAGACAATGATAGCAAGAACATACAAGGGTCAACGTACATGCCTCATTCAGAAGCTTCAAGCAAGTCGTTGTTGTAGGGCACGGGTTGTCGTATCGGCCGTGGCGATGCCTAGCAACAGAAATGACAAGAACAAGAAAAAAGGCAAGAAAACGCACGTCTGTCATGCACACACACACAACGGACGCATCAACATGTTTTTTTTCCCACGCATGCACAATAACGCACACGCACACACATGTCGATTTAATGCGAACGCACCGAACGCGTGAACGCATCACTAGCAGAGATTCTATGGGCGTAGGATCTTCCTATACCTCGACGCAGAAACGCACGCATAAGAACACTGTAAATTCGATCCTACAAGTCGACGGTCATAGTCAGCAGGCTGCTTCTTACAGAGGAAAAATAAAGCGCACCGAAGGCCAGGAGATCGGTTATGTGAAGACTGCGAGCTCAGCGTAAACGTGAGTAACCCAACCAATAACGATACCACGAAAGACGCGCCGTGCAAGAATCTTTTTCGATGCCATATCCTTCCACTCCATCAGCGCTGCGTGTCAAGCTGACGTCCTATCAACATCCACCACCAACACCACCACCTTTCCTGTCGCAAAGCCGGAAGGAGAGCGTCATGAAGGAACAATCATGGCTTCCCTTCTTCTACTAACGTCACTCCTTATCTGCGGCGCAAACCCCCCCTCCCGGACGACAACACGTTGTATTAGGAACCTCAAGCAACCTGTTGCTTCTTAGTTATCGGTTTTTCCTGGTCGAGCGAATCAACCCAGGAGCCGCTGTCATCCTGCAGCTGGAGGATCGGTCAAAAAAAATGAAAAGGGTAATCAACGCTAGTACTCAGGCTGCGGAGATGCATATGGACGTCGCTGTCAATCTCGGAAGGACGATCCGGTGAATAAATGTCCCTTCCCTTTCCCGGTACGTGTATCTCCCTCTCGAAAAAACTTGGTGATTTCATCTCGCTTGCGGGGTTTTATTTTTTCCGAATGGTGGAGCTTTCAATTCAACGGTTAGAGTCAGATAAGTAATAGAGACGATCGCGTCTTGCTTTCGCAACTGTATGGTGTTTCGGCCGATAGTTCGGACCGGTATCCGGAATTCTGGACGATTACGTTGTGCTCGGATGAGAACAGTGGCACCATATTGGATCATCGTCCAGTCGTCTTTGGGAATATACAGCTCTGTCAATGTCACTCGTACCCCCCACCCACCTGGACGGCACCGAGAACGTCGAGTCCAGGCACCGTTCCACCTGTGCAAATCTCATAATTATAACGTTAATCCCATATCTCCAAACAAGCAATTCATTCTATGTATTGAAAGCCAAAGTAGGTAATGATAATATGCGAGGCAGTGCACGTATAGTAGCGTCCATACTATATACATGCTTTTTTCGTGGATGGTATGTAACTAATAGTTGTAGTAGTACACATATGAGAAGACGAAGAAAAAAAAATGCAAAACGCAAGAACGTCCATCTGCATTGTGTTGCTGCTGTTAATGTTACAAAATGTCTAATATGGGTTGATTGTTAGTACAAACCAGCGTGAGTGGGAAAGATGAATAAAGATATTGAGAATATGAGAGCCGTCGTATGGCGAGCGGTCGTATAATGGCGTGTGGGAGGGCGTCTAAGCGCCTATCATCGTTTCTTCTCCTGCTCCTCCTGCTCCTCCTACACCACCAACGAAGCACCACTGCTTCACAAAAGCCTTGTATAGATCCTCTGACGAGGGAGGAGGGCTCGGTGATTTTTTCCCCGTCCTTAATGGGGGCGTGGGGGTGGGGGTTGGGGTCGAAGGAGGGGGTGACGGAGGATGAACTCGTTCAGGAGACAGTGGTGGCGATGGCGACCTGCGCTTAGGCTCGATAGCGTCTGAATTGAGCATCGAGAAGGGAACGGGAAGACTCGCAGGCTCTACGTACACAGGCACTTCCTCCAATGCACCCGCCCGCTCCTCGATAGGTGAGTCTAATGGAGAGTTGCTGCCTCTTGATAGAGCAGGCGTCTCGTCTCCATCCCCGTCAGAATGCACTGGGGAGCCCGTGTCCATGTGCGACTTGCGAGAGCCCCAAAACCAGAACACGCCCGCGCCTTCGGCTTTCTCTTCAGTAGGAGGACTCTGTTGGTGAGGGACAGCGTTGGGCTTGGCATAGTTGGCAAGCTTGAAGCCTTTCAGGCGATGTTGGAGCGTCGCCTCTGATCTTGCGCGATTATGGGGAGGAGGAGGGACTGGGGTGGTTGGTAAAGACGGTGATAGGGTGGGTGTCGAAGAAGTCGGTGGGCTTGTCGGTGAGGATGGACCAATGGTTGGAAATGGAACGGAGCTCTCGGACGGAACGGTTATCGGAGCTACCGATGCATTGGTTTTCTCAACCGTTGAAGGTGATGGCTCTAAAGTTAAATTAAGTGAACAAATGGGAATGAAGTGAATGGTATGGACCTACGGTTGGGACTCCGAATAAAGGCCACACGGTAGTTTTGCCCAGCGTTATTGTCCCACCATTCACCTCCACCTGCGGAATATCGTACGACGAGATAGACGGTCCGGTCGATAAGGGTGGAGGCGTAGTCTTCCAATTTGATTGTATATTCAAAACGATCCCAAGCTCCAGATGCTCCCCTACCGACACTTGCAGCGACATCACCTATGGTGAGAGATTTCGTGGGCAGAATAGGTAACGAAGGCAACGACGTTTGATACCGAGCTGCGACTTCGGACGTCGTCTGCCAATCGTCAAGCGTGAACCTGACGAAAACCTGCTTCTCGTATGATATATTGCGAACGAGCACGGATCCCTTGAGCGCCAGGGTTGATTGGGGAAGAGTCAAGGACTCGAGTATGAGATTAGAACCTAGTATGGGTGCTGCAGGGTTTGGTACGGGGTCGGTGAATGGAGACAGGCAGTACGAGGGGTGAACCAATGGAAATGGGAACCGTGGAGCGTCTGAATAGCGAGAGGAGCCGACTTCGACCTCTGTCTCAGTTTCGGTCTCCGCATCCGACGCCGGAGCGGCTCGAAGCAGCGAAGCGGGTTTGGCGGAACGACTGAAGAGACGTACTGTTTCGAGCTGGTGGGTAGGAAAATGGACGTTTTTGGGGGCATGAGATTCGTGAGAAGGCGTAGATGGGGCAGAGCGGGCCCGGGCATGCTGGATAGATAAGGAGGGCATATCGGGGACAGAGGACGAGCGCGGGGACCCCTTGAGCGAAGATTTGAGGGGCCGGCCATTGGAGAGCAGCACGGGGGTCGAGTTGGTTCGCTGCGGGGGGGATGACCTACCCGGTAACTCTGGGCTAGGACTTCGTGGGAAGGGTACGGTGGCTAATTTCGTATCGACCCGCAATGATTTGGTGTCTGGGGTGGGGCTGAGGTCGTCATCGGAAGAACAGTCATTCTGAAAGTGAAAGACAGGTCTGGTGTTGTGTGTAATCCGTGGCAGCGAGCCAAGGGAGGTAAAGGCGCCTGAAGAATGAGTATACGAACGACGGTGAGTAGGGCGTCCTTGGGTAGGAGTGGGCAGGGAGTAGGGCATACGAGATGGTGGTCGCCAATTGGAAACGAATGCAGCCTTTTTTTATGATTCAGTTTCTCGTTTTCTTTTCAATGCTCCAATTTGGAATCTCCGATCTTTTTTAGGTCGCCCGATTCCATCTTGTGTCTTATCTGTCGTGGCTCCTCGATCTCATTGGCTGCCTTTCGGCACAGCATTTAAATTTTCCGCCACGCTCTAGATCTTCATCCCCATTTGGATATTCCACGTCTTGTTATCTGATCGCATTACTCGCCCATTTTGCGTAAGAGTTCCTCACCAGTAACGTCAAAAACACTCCTTGGAGCTGTGGATTCGTTGCCTTCGTCTCGCCACAATCACGTCTCGTAACACTTTCAATCCCCGGTATAGTTACTCTCTTCTTCAACTCTTCCTCAACTCAATTGTCTCAGTCTTCGGCTAAAAGTAGCTACTTATTCCGAATCTTCGGCGCAGAACTACTACGGTCCCTCCCTGCGCTTGTCGGACATATCCCTCACCACCGTTCCACTTTAAAATATACACGTCAAATAAACCCGCCAACCCGCCTCCATTCCACCGCTACGACACGTTCGTTCAACTCTGTTTATTATCCTGTTCATCATGAGAACCGCAGTCAACTCCTTTGGCATCTTGATATTCTCCGGTGATTCCTCTGCCTCCGCAACTCGGGCTCGAGCTTCCTCTCCCCCTGCTGTCCGACCTCCTTGTCCAAGTGTCTGTTTTATTCCCCATACTTGAACAATTCCCAGGCCAATTTTGTGGGGTGAGAGGCCGTACCTGTCCACAAACGAACATCCAAACATCTTCGCATGCGTCCAAGTTGAGAACTCAGGCTCAGACCCATGGCGACCCTTCAACGAATTACGTGTTCCCTTGCTACGGTAAGTATGTCTTCTTCTCGCATGCAGTATGTTTTCTGCTGCGCTGATATCACGCCCCATTGATTGACCGGTCCACACCTCCCAACTCACGGACTTCGCTTGAGACTCCCTCTGAGGTCGTAGTGCGAGTCGGGTTCGTATCAACAACGCTCTTTTCTTTTTTTGAAACTCAGAGGGGGACGCAACCATCACTGTTCACGTCTGTCGCTCTCTCTCTCCCTCTCCCTCCCTCTCTCCTCGGCTACCTTTACGGCGCATCAGCCCTCGTGTAATCTCATCACTATCATTGGCAGATCTATTGTTATCACTAACTTCTATCAATACCATCCTTGGGAACAGTTTAGGAATGACCTTTCTATCTAGTCATCGTATTTCTGACGAGAATAACTTAGCATCATCGTTCACTTGACATTCCCAACATATGAATCTGAGTCACTGAGTTTGAACCGTTATCTTCATCCAAGTCATGAGTACAACATCATCTGCCTTTCGTCCCTGGCTTATAAGGGTCAGTATCATTCGTCTCCTATTCAACCTCGGAGTCTGAATTCAGCTTATTCTTAAACGCACGTTTATCTTGCTCGAGAGCTCTTGACACGAATTCGTACTTATCTGGATCATTTGTCTAGACTTTGAAATGGTCTTTGCCTCGACTGTATCATTTACTCCTATGTACTTGCATTGTCGGGTAGGTCTTTATTCTAGACTATGTCCTACCGGCAAATAATGTTGGTTCCGGGTCTCGATCCGACATCGGTAGAGACCGGAAGAAAACCAACTGTCCACTACCATGGGGGCACCCAGAATTGAACTGGGGACCTGCAGAATATCTCCCCTTCTACGTTACTTCAGTCTGTCGCTCTCCCAATTGAGCTATGCCCCCTGAAAACACATCTTTACCCATCAATTTTGGCAATTGGAGTGACCACAGTATTCAAGGTCTGTATAAATTCCGCGCCAAAATATCTCCATCCGCACCAAGTTGTTCAACTCAGACACAAAGATAAGTAACCGAGTACTGAATTTAATCAAGAACATACGTCAGGAAAGCGTCACCCTCAGTAGTGACGCCCGCCGCGTCTTCTTTTTCTCGTCGATCCTCGAAGTGCGGATCAGGCCTGTGGAGAGGAAGAAGAGAGCGCACTAAATTCGATTTAGTGTGGATTATTCTTCCGGGTCCCTCCACGTATGTCTTGGTTACCTGGCGTCCACCGTCGCCTAATGTCCACCAAGTTCTTTAGCAACGCATGTATAGATAACTCTCGTTGCCTCGCCACTCCATGCTAACGTCAGTACTAGACACGTCTTGAATATTCCTTGGGGGCGCACACGAAAGGTTCTGAACTCCCGACTCTGGTTCTCACACTACACCCGAGGAATGAAGAACCAGTCAAGTTTCCACGCGTTTATTTTCTTGGGCGCAGCATGGGGACCCTGTTAGAAGCATGGAGGTGCAGGTTCGTAACTTTCCCAGCCCTGAATAATGTACCCGCCTCGATATGATACACTTCCCACGTCAGTTTTAACTTTGAAACGATTGAATGAAGGCTGGGCTGGGATATCAGAAGAAAGTTCCCTTACGAAATAAGCTCCCCGTGCTTTACTTATTGCAAAATTTTCAGTACGCTTTGCTCTGCAAGTTGGGGTAAGCCTGCACCAGCTTTCACGATGATGATTTCACTTTAATACGCGGACATAAATACAACCCAAAGCTGAGAGAGATGGAATGTAGCGTGACCGTGTTAAGAGGGGTTGAATTTGATATCGACGACATTGCCAAATAACGCGACACGCGTCGTATGTAATGCAGCCAGCTTTCCTTGTCTTTTCCAAAGCGTCCGAGTCGCCGCTTTGGGTCTGGGGCATAATATTAAATATCGCACATCCAGCTTGGATCTTCGGTTGTCAGGCAAGGGAGCGTTGTTCTCCTCCTCGGCTGTTCCTTGCTACACTGTATTGCTTCTATTATGTGTACATGGCATGTATGACCCTCGCCTATTTGCGAGTGTTCCCTGCTGAAATCCGGGTGAGCGCTAGAGAATTACCGCTCATTTTAGCATACTTATTCATTCATGATATTTGCTGATTTGTCTCAAGGTCCCCGCACTCCAGACATCCTATCATAATTGGTTGCGCATTAAATAATATCAAGCAGCCTCAAAAATGGAACGGAACGCGATCGAGATGAATTTTGATTATTGACATACTTTTCATTTTAGTTGGACGGTGATTGGATAATGCGCCGTTTGTAATACATACGAAAATTTTCGTTGTTCGTCCCTCGCGGCTCTCATTGTAAAGATGCTCCGGGGCATTAGAGCAATAGCAGGATGCTGAGGACGAAGAAATTGACGTTGTCGGCGGTGCGGATTACCAGATCAACGTTATCGGTGGGCTTATTGAAGGGAGCATCGGCGGTGATTACCGGGGATGGTTCAGGTTGTGCGTCGGCGTCCATCTGCTAGTGATAGTAGACAATCAAGCTAAGGCTGGCTGCTCCGTGCTTGTGCCATCGTGACTGATGGACCTCACCCTCGTAGAACTGCGTTACCAGCGCTTCGAGTTGTTTCATTCCATAGGAAGAATCCCGAGTGTCACAAAGCAACATGTGCTTGAAGGTTCCTATACGCGTTGACGTCGCATTTTTTGGCGCTGTAAATAAGAAAGAACATTGATACAAGACGAAATCCAGAAAATGATTATTCATTCGGCACTTGTCGAGTCACAATTACTCCTTCACTTCGAACGATCATTACGCTTCGCAATTGGATCGCTCAGAAAAAGTTAATCGTAGCTCGGATGTTAAAAGTTAGTCGTAGCTCGGATGTTAATAAGACGTCAGCTTGGTCCGTGACTCGATGCTGGCGGAGCGGAAGCTTAGTGGATTATCATCTCCGTGGAACCTTTTCCGACCGTGTTGTAGAATCTCAAGGACTCTCCCGTACGTACGAATATTCATTCGATGTTACGGGACATAAATTTATATGCGGCTCTTTGCATAGTATAATGTTGTTTACCTGATGAAGACATCACACGGGTGACTGCGAGGAAGGAATCGCTATTCAGAAAGAACGTGATTAGATTAGTGATTGCCGAATGTCATCTCGGTGAGTTGTTATTGTATGAGGAGGGAAATGCAACTGACGCAAAGCAAATCATAATGTCCTATTCCTAGTCTATGTTCGAACTGGCCCCGCCGGCCCTTCGTCCAGTCTACGTTCAAGGATACCTTTGATGGTCTACCAGGAAAGAGGCGCGTTAAAAATGTCGCATTACTCACCCTCTGGTGTCCGCCTAGCAATTTCCTCCGCCAATAATCCTGCGAATCGATGAATTTGCTTGACGGCCATTCTTGTCCATTCATCATGGTCCCACTCGGCGATACTCATCACGACAGCCCATCTAGCGCTACTTCTTCTCAAGACTACAATAAAACTTGCACGTTCACCTCGCCCAAATAATCACGCTATTAGGTGTAGGTGCGCAAGTCCCCATCTCCTGATCGCGTCCAATACGACGCCGGTTTGAGATACCAAATCGACAGGATGGCGTGGATTTCAGGAACAATAGCTGTGGAGCTTTGGCCTTGTAACCATGTCATCTCATCATCCTGCATGGGATCGAATCCCACCTGCGCCGCCTTTCCACATTTCCTGTGATAATCCCAAAGACGAAAGTGCTGCAGGATGGAGATGAGCAGGACGAAGCTGGGTTTATACGCTCAGGGCTTGGACGTGTTTTGTCGGCTATGTTCAATTCTTCGTGGGCAAACGAGCGCTGCGGGGCCGAGCTTGACTGCTGGTGCTGTCAATGGCGTGTATGACCCTCCGCATTGCTGCCGGTATGCGATCCGCCTCGAGACATGACATGTTCGACAGGCTGGTCTGCCTTGAAGTGTTGATTTGCTGTGGTGGAGCAGAACCCTGTCAAGGACAACACAAGAGGCATCGTCCCGGGAAGTTCTACATGGCGCGTTGTCCGTGGTCGATATGTTAACGATAGATATGTGCATTCTACAATCCATACTCTCAAGTTTGTCGTGCTCACAGTTTCTTAGTGGATGATGCCAGAAGTCCGATATCTACTCGACATTATGGACAGTAGACATACATCTAGCTGTTAGCGCCGTATACCATAATTGTCTTATCGACGTTGGAATTGAGGGATATTTCGCATGCACGCCTTGGATGATATTTCGGTGTGTTATACATCATTTGTATAACACCGGTCGTCCGACACAACACAAATAATTATGCCTAGTTTTGGCCTCTCGTGTATATATTGTAAAACCTTTGTTCACCAACCACTGCTTCGTCATCACTTTGCCCAATCAATGTTCAGAGGCTCCTATGCCAATGTTCAACAGAAATGAATACAGTTGAAGATATCGACGGACTCACCTGCGAAATCCGCCTATCGATCTCCTCCGCTACTAACCTCGCGAATCGATGGATCTGGTTACCGGCGACTTCAGCCCAATTTGCGCCGCACTGAGAGATACTGTTCGCGATCGCTTGGGCAATGATATTTTCATCAAGAGCAATATCTGATGAAGGTCGTCCTAGCACTTCCGCCATCACAGTGACAAGATAATTATTTAACCATCCATGCGCATAAAGGGTTTTATCTCCTATTGTCCATGGGGTCGTATACCCCCCACACAATGTACACCAATCATTGGAGCCTAAGAAGAGGAAGTCAGATGTTTTCCCTTTCAGCCATGGCATGTGGTTCTCTGGTGTGAGGGCCTGAGCGGCTTTCCCGCACCTCCTATGGTAATTTCGGAGACGGACGTATTGGAGGGCATCAATACATCTCAGATCCTCGAGTTCGACTTCGGAGTCGAAAGGCGCAGTGAGCATGTTCTTTGCTGCCGCCTCGGCCAGTTCCTTCCATCCATTGCCGACTGCATGAGCAAAAACCCCCATCGCATGCTCCTTTATCAGAGACGATGCAATTACAGTCTGAATGAACCGCTCCAACGTATGATCCATACAGTATTTGTCCAATACCTTCCCTACTGCCACGAGCTGCTCTACGCTCTTGATCTCCGGTGAGGCGTATGGGTAACAGAATAAGAGGATAGTTCGGAAGGTATCACTGTCTTCCTTCACTTCAAGGACGGGAAGACCGTCTCTCTCCTCTGTGTGCTGGTTGGGTTGCAGAACGTGGCGGAAGAACGACGATGGGGATCGCAGCGATAGCAGCACGCTGAGGACGAAAAAGTCGACATTGTCGGCTGTGCGGATCACCAGATCAACGCTATCGGTGGGATCGTTGAAGGGGGCGTCGGCGGTGGAAGCATTGCGTGGCTTGGTGGTTTCCATTGCTAGTGGCTGATGCGGGAGATGGGGGAGCAGGCCTCAGGTTTTATACTTCTTTTGCTGCCGCCTCGTGGCTGGCGTGTTTATGCCTCCGGGCCTTTTATACGTGAAAGAGGCGCTTCGAAATAGTATACAGTTGTCAAACTCTTCCTTTTTGCTCTTTTGGCATCCAGGAATCTCATATATAGTAGCCTAGGGGAGACTAAGTATTTAGCACTAGTTTACAGACACGCGTGAAAATTTATCTCTGTGTAGTGAAACAAATCCGACTCCTCTGATGCGAAAATCTTAACAATGGACGCCAAGTTTGACTACTTGCTTAGTCGATAGTGCACTGTGTCTCAACCGCATCTACGAAATAATCTTACGAAATAATCTTGGGAACTACTTTAGGAATAGAAACTTCTCGATGCGCCTTGGAAAGCGTGTAAGGATCAACGTTCTCGTTCCGATGCGTATCTGGCTCGTAAAATCACGTTCATCACATCGATATCTCCCTGGTAGGTTGAGGTTTGAGTACCTCGTTTGCGTGAGGACTAGAGCTTGGGCCATCGATAAATGTCAACTGCAATATATAATGAAAAGTACAACCATGTCCTAAGTCAAAGCAACCGTTCGACTATCGTTACTTCTTCCAATCGATGTTCAACGGCACCTATGACACGTTCATACGATACGTCATGCCGGCACCACGTTTACTCACCTGCGAAATCTGTCTGTTGATTTCCTCTATGAGGCGCTTCCCGAATTTGCGAATCTGGCTGAGAGCAATCTTCATCCATTCTTCATTGGCGTTGGGGCACTGCGAGACACTCTTCGCGACTGCGTGGGCAATGATACCTTCATCAGGGGCGGTTTCCAGGCGGGGGCTTCCCAGCGCCCACACCTTCAGTGCTGCAGCATAATCGGCCACCCAGTAGTGAGCGATGTACCCCAAACCGGAACCACCGTCTATCTTTTGCTGTAGGGGCGTTCCACAAAATGCACAGGTATGCTGGTATCCTGTTCTGGGTCGTAGGAACAATATATCTGAAATGTTGCCTCTCAGGAATGGCATGCGTATATCTGTTTCGCCCGACATGACGGCCTGGGTGGCTTTCCTACACCTCCTGTGATAATCTTGAAGGCGAATGTACTGGAGGGCATCAAGGAGTTTTAGGTCCTCAAAGTCAGGGTGTTGGGCGAGAGGTATTGCGAGCGTGCTCTTCGCTGCTGCCTCACCTAGTTCCTTCCACCCGTTGAGAACGGCGTGGACAAAGACCAGTAGGCCTTTCTCTCTGATGAGAGGCGACGCGATTACGGCCTTGACGAACTGTTCACAAGCGTTATCCATGCAGTATTTGTCGAGGGCCTTTCCCACCACCACGAGCTGCTCGATGTTGTTGATCTCGGGAGAGACACACGGATAGCAGAGCAGGAGGATAGATCGGAAGGTGTGGCTGTCCTCCCTGACCTCGAGGATGGGGAATCCGTCCCTTTCTTCCGTATGATGGTTATCTTGCAGAACGTTACGAAAGAACGACGATGGGGATCGCAGTGATAGAAGTGTGCTGAGGACGAAGAAGTCGACGTTGTCGACTGTGCGAATTACCAGGTCGACGCAATCAGTGGGGTCGTTGAAGGGGGCGTCGGCGGTAGTGACATTACGCAGCTGGGTGGTTTGCATTGCTGGTAGGAAGATATGTATGAAGATATATGTAAGAGATGGAGGGAGGAGGTTCTGTGCTACTTTTGCCGCCTCGTGACTCCAGCGCTTATGCATTCGGACCTTTTATACGCAAGGAAAGAAGCGCTTCGAGGATGCCGTTAAATGCTTTTTTTGTTTTTTGCTCTTTTAGCACCTAGAAATTGTAGGATTAGCACTAGGGATCTGGATATGCTTGAGAATATACCTACATGTAGCGAACAAGTATGACTCCTTTAATGTAAGACTCGGAGTCTTCAGTGGAATGAGTTTCATATTTCGAACGACTGTCACGTGCCTTGAGTAATACATCCAACCATATTGCGCTCCTGCTATGCCTTCTACTCTTCACTTTTTGTATAACGCTATTGATATCAGTATGCTCCTTCCTCTTTCGATCGCCCCTTTGGTGCCCGTACAGTCTCTTTATCTTGGATGAACGAGCACTGCCACAAGGGTCACCCCTTGCAGGTACAGTTAGAAATCAAATTAGGCATAGAGACGCGTACACGTAGGCGTTGCGCTGACAATGACATTGAACCCAGGGACTTCGACATTGCTATCAAGCAATTCTTCTACGTTACCCTGAAGGATCCAGAACCTTTGAGATGACAGTCAGTGGAGATTCGAATGTAAGGGTGGAGACTGACTGGAAAACAAGCCTGGACCACAAAGCTGTTACTTGCATCGTTTTCAGTAGCAAGTCTGGTCCAAGCGTTGTAGGAGGTCGGATTGAGTTCTGTTGTCTGCCTAAGAATATATCAGATAAGAAAAGTCACATCTACATGCAAAAACATGGGATTGAGTGCTGTATGTGCCCTAACCACAGTCCTAAATCATCATGCATTGTCTGTCAGCATTTGCCCTTGGCTCTCATAGAGGCTCCTTCCTCATGCTGCGCTCGGAAAGTCTGGTTATGGTATTCCTATGAAGCTCAAGCATAGTGAGGGCGTGTCAAGCAGCGAGGGCTCTTCAGACAGCCCAAGATATGGAGGGAACACTGAAGAAATTAAGCAAAGAAACAGGATCAACGCACCCAGGCTTGAAACAATATGAATGTATCGGGAATCGGCGCTTGCTTGGGTGCCTTGATGTCATCTCTGGCACGACTATTCCTGGAACCACAACGACGCGACAACGATAACGAGGACAATCCATAATGTCGGTAGCAACAGTGACGGTGCTGCCACGAGAGCCCCGGTTCCCCCACCTGCTTCCCCCAGTGCCTCGTACTCGTCCTATACCACTGCGAAACGCCGGTTACGAGCCCATGTACGGCCGAATGAAGGAATACCGCGACCTGCAACGCGAGATGGACGAGCTGAGTGAAGAAGAACACGAGCTGGAGGAAATGGTGCATACCCTTTGCCTCGCCACGCGTCTCTATCACTCACTTTATCCAGGATAATAACATCCGTACCCGTGGTTGCAAGACCGTCGTGCCCATCGGACGCGTCAAGACGCAGCAAGACGAGAGGAAAGGGGTAAGGGTAGTGCTTCTCCCTTGTTGGTCACCGTAGTGAAAAAATGTGAAGTCAGGTGAAGACGACGAGGGGGATTCTGCCATCTCTGGTGGGCCTCCGTCTGTGATGGAAAGCGAAGAGGAGCAAGAGCAAGAGGAGGAAGAGGTAGAGGTAGATTTGGATGCCAGTATGGAGGATCTGGATGAAGAGTCGAGCGACGAGGAAGAGGAAGAAGAACAAGACCTAGACATGGATATTCCTGAGGATATCGATGCCTCACACTCATTTTAGTGGGCGTCGCGATATTTAGCAGCAGCGAGTTTCACTGCAAGCGCATTGGAAATGCATTGAAGAATCTTCTGACAGCGATTGAGAGATACTCGACTTCACGACAACCCAGCAACCTCGATCGCTCTTCTGGAACCCGCGAGCTCCTCCTCTTCAACGTCGTACACGTTTGCTCCTTGAAAAGACTCCTTATTTGATTCCTCGGTCCTTTGGCATGCCTTGAAGTATTGGAATACAGATGGATAACGGACGAATGCTATAGTGTATCATTCTGTTGTACAAAATCTTATCACTACATGCATCCCTGAGACACGAAAAGACAACAAGGTAGAATCAGCTATTGCTGAAAACGTTTTAATAATGGCTGGATATCTCCAGTTCAAAATGCAGCGTTATCTCACGGACGAAGCTTCACAAGAGTCCAACTTGTGTATAGCACGCCGTTTGATAGCATTGTCAATCAATGACTGTTCCACTGTCGACTGTTCATGCAAGTGAACATCGACTGATGCCAGCTTCGGAAGAAAAGTACCATCATCGAGTAATTTTTGCGTAAACTGTTGGGAAATAGGGTAGTAAGCCCTCAACAGTGGTACCGTAGGTTTGCAGATGGTCAAATACCGGAGTTCTTGTAACGAATTGAGGATTTCTACCAAACCCTGAGAGCGAAGGGGGATCTTGTCGATGATGAGATCCCAAAGCGACGAGCAACAACTAAGAGTGAATAGTGCAATGGACTGATGCTCGACCACAGGCCCAGCACAGGTACACAATCCACGATGACCAGGAAGCAGATGGAAGGAAGACATAGTGCCCCGAGATACGTGCCAAAAGATCTATGGGAGACACACAATGCGAGGGGTATGAGACTCGCTATCTGAATAGTGTCATGGCTGTGGAGTGCCGATGATGGAACCACCATGAGTCTCTCGAGATTCATGAAAGGCCTAGCTCATCTCAGCCCGTAGAATGTAAGACCAGACGTGCCTTCGGGGTAGGGCTTCAATATAAGGTCCTAACTGTAGGATAGGGCGGCCCACGAACCTCCAGAATGGATGCAATGTTAAAATGAAGGGTACGAAGATTGGGCGCATCATGTAATCCGAGCAACTCGCCAACCGGAGTGACAGGGTTTCCGACAGCCTTCAAACTCTGTAACATGTCCTTGTCGGGAGGAATTGGAAACAAGAAGGGACCGACGTGCATGGAATCAGCGAGAGAGTCGAGCTTTCACCATCGGCGAACGTTGGTATGCAAGAGCGCATACATGGAGTGAAGGGAAGTTGGTAACGGGTATTGTAAGAATTGTTGCGAATTGTGATGGAAAAAGGGGGAGTTCCGAGTAGTTCAACATACAGAGCTAGAAACCTTACCCGTGGTTCCACCGGTTTAAGATCGCTCAACAAAGGGAGATAGACGTTGGACCATAACATAGGATATGACAATGCAGCTTTGCACCATGCCGATCAGACGGAGGAAAGGCGTAGAATAGTGTGCTGCTCCCCTTTGGTCCGTGGCCTCACAAACTTCTGTGAAAGTATCCCCTAGTACATCAAAGGAGAGGTACTCAGCCCCCATTTCCCGTGCATCCGTACAATAGGTTAGCGGTACAGAAAATACATGCAGAGTTCATGATTCACGAAACCTTTAAGTACTCCAGGATCCCGATACCTGAACGACGCGACACGACAAGGCTTCCAGCTCGCCTACGGCAGGTTTTCCATTTCCTGTTCAAAATGGGGAGTTATCCTTCTCCTCAAAGAGAACGCTTCGTTCGTGTCAAGATTGCAAAGAGCGTTGCTTGATTATGTCATCGATCTTCGACTTCCATAATTGACGCACTATGCAGCTGCAGGTCGACGGAAGCAAGACTCGGAAGGAAATGGACATCATGGAAATTTTGGAGGAATGTCTCCGAGACAGGATAATAGGCACTTAACAATGAAACTGTTAGCTTATGAACAGTCAAATGTCAGAGTTCCTGCAGTGGAGTGAGAATTTCAGCTAATCTCAGGGGTTGAAGGGGGTGTTTGTCGAAGATAAGCTCCTGCAGTGATCAGGCACATCTACTGATGAATAGGATGATGGGCCTGTGGTGGACATTGCCAGCCAAAGTACATTCTAAGTATTTTAGAGCAAAGGAAAGGAGATGGGGAAGGGATAGCCCTTGTAAATATGTCACAAATGAAGTCAGAGAAGGGATGGAAATACAGAGTGTGAGGGACATGGGCTTGGCTTCAATAGTGACAAGAGTCTCAGTTGCTGATCTGGGCATAAACATGAGCCTCTTGACATTGGAGAACTAATATGCATGGCAGTTCATTGCTCCTTGGATTACTGGGATGTTTTGGGCAGCCTTCCAATATGAGGTCTTTGACAAAGTTGGAACAATGAAGAGGAAGTACTGTATACATGTGAGGATGAATGGTATGTAAGGCAGGCACCTTTTTCTATTCAAAAGCAGTTTGCTGAGAGGCTCAGAGGTAACAGTAGCAGGGATAAGCCTGGGGCTCTCCAGCATGTACATTTCACCACAAAAGGAAGAGAAGAGAGGAGGGCATGCACATGAGGTAGCATAGTGTGGCATCCCATGATGTCCAGCTGGCACCAATGGTACATATTGATGCATAACAGGGTGTATATTCTCAGGGTAATGGGAAACTGGTGGCTATTGTTGTCATAAATGAACCTGTTATTGCAGATTGTAATAGACATTGGAACAGATAGATCATTGAATGTATAAAGAAAGTAGGTAGCCCTTGCTGAGCCTCTGCCAAATGAGATGATTCAGATCAGCTCAACATCAGAAGGTAGATGTAGGACCATAGCTTGGGATATGCCAATGCAGCTTAGTGCTGAAATGCTGAGAAGTGGCACTAAATGAATCAACAATGTGCAGGATGCACACCATCAAATCACTAATATCAAATCACAATGTGGTTCAAGGGAGGAATGGTAATACTGGGATTCCAAGTATGTAGAGAAATGTAACATAGATGAAGTACAATAAAATGTGTTTCAAAGATGTATATTGTTGTTTTGCTCAAACAAAGCTGTCTGTGTCACTGAACACAACAAAACTTATCTCAAACAGTCTGTCTGATGCAGGTTCTGAACTGGTACTGTCTGCCTAGTGCAGTTTCTAGACTGGTACCATGCACCTGGTTGTGACTTATATATAAATATTGGCTGTTCTGAACTGTCTTGGGTCTGTTCTGACTGTCTGATATAAAATTTTGCTTGCTTTCTGGGGTTCTTGCACAAAACAAAGTGATCTGATCACCATAATGCTATTCAGATTGAGTCTATGACTCAAAGCTCTTAACCAAACACAACCTGTACTATTTGCTTGGTAGCATTTCAGGAGGGGTCAGAAACCTCTCTTCCCTCTATATACGACCAGGTATTTATACTTTCTAGCTACCCATGGCTGACTAACATAATCAACTACTGACTAATATGCTTGCTGACACAACCAGAGAGGCTAAACTCATTACCTGACAGATATGAACTTATACACAGTTACCTGGTTGATTGATTGGGCTGAGCCCTGGTCCTTTGTGAGCATGCCAATCATGTAGGTCCCTGTTTCCAGACCTGAAAACCTTGCATGTTGAACAGAGAGGCCTGCTAATGCTCTGGTCTCTGCTAGACATAGGGACATCACACTCAAGGGAACTATGCCCTCTCCAGATAATTACTTGCTTAGTGTATCTTACTACAGGGGGTACAGAGTAGCCAACTGGGTAAAAAGTGATAAATATATCCTCTTTTCTACCTTGTATGGTTGCCTGGCACATCAGTGCCATGTTAAATAGACAGAGGAAAGATGTAGAGTAGCATGGTGTTCTCCATTGGGGTCCATGACCTCACAAACCTCCACAAAAATATCCTCTAGGATGTTGAAGAGTGATTTCATACTGGAAACAGATCAATCAAGTCCTCTCAGATAATATGAATATGGCTTAGAGTGACCAGGTTCAATAGCCAAACTTGCACATTAAACAGATTGGAGGTCAACTTTGAAGGATGAACAATATTGCTGAAGAATAGGGCATCCATGGTGTATTTATATAAGGCAATGGATGGCAGAGTGGGGATATTGGTACATAAAATATTAGCTATGCCACCCTCTCAGATTGTGGTGCTCTACACCAAAGATAAAACTGTATGTCTCTCTTCTCCTTTCTTCTTTCCTTCCTGACTTCTCTTTCAGACCTAGTTTCTGGAATACAATTACTCCCATCATCCCTTCTCCTTGTCCTTGCTGCTGTACTTCTGCATATACAGCACTTGGAGTCTTGGCATTCATGCACATAGGGCTCAGATCCAGGAGAGATATGAGTGTCTGGATACTGGGAGTAGATATGAGTGTACTCTGGGGCGGACAAGTTGATGGAACAAGCTCGATCTGGTATACATCATGTTGCTTGATATGCCAGCGCATTCCTGTTGGTTCATCAGAAACTCACTGTTTTTGAATTCATATGACAGCAGTGTCAACTCTGGCATCCATTTCCATGAACTTCAGACTACTTATTCGGAAGATGCTGCGAGTTGAGATCCAAATTTCACCATCTTTGGGGTGCAGCAAGTTCATCAGGCAAGTGCTTTCCTATCAATGGAGTTGATTCAGGACTACAACAACCGATACATTACCTCCCGAGTTATCAAAAGGATGGGCATAGACACTACAGCTATGCCTGTGCTTGTTGAAATCTTGAATCATCTGGAATTGCCGCGATACCCATGGCTATTTCAGACAGTTTCATAATCCCACCATCTGTTCAATCTCTGAGGTGATGAGAATGATTTACGGGATTACAACTGCACTTTGATCCTCTAGCAGCAATTACAAGGGTATATTCATATAGTCTTCCTTATCTTCGTTTATGAGAATTGCGTCATGTTGCACTGGAAAATGCGAGGACTCTAAAAGCGCGCGAATATGTTATACTTGCGCCCTTTCCCCTCGAATTTGTCTTGGCAACTAGCGATTACAATCTCCTCGTTCCGGATGAAGCCAGGACGGTATGTCGAGCCATGGTTGTCGAAGTCCTTCTCAAATCCGATACGCGTCTCCGTCATGCATAAGTCCATCCCGCCTGTTCGCCTCGGCTTTGACACGACGAGGTCAAAAACCCGTGCTGGATATAATATGCCGGGCATTTCGAGGCCGGATAATTCATTAGCTGAAGAAATGAATACGTTCTTTGATGCTTGAGAAGAGAAGAAATGGTCGTAGCGGTTGTGGTGAGAACCCGTCTGTCTCATTCGTCATTTCGGTGAAGGGACCTCCTTAAAACTTCGACGTATCCAACACAAGAATTTATTTCGCGACGGTCCACAATCTTTCCGACATCCAGAATAGACGCATTTACTTACTACGCTCCGTCTTTGCAATCTGATCGTTGGCTTTTCGGCGCTATGTGGCGCCGCACGTTGTTCATCCATGTTTAGATCCTACGGCACTATGCTTTACAGTAAATGTCGTATATACTACCCGGAACACAGAGAACTTGTCTGTCTTTCCCTGCCATGTCTTCCCGCGCCTCCCGTTCTCGCTCTCGCCGCCAACCAGGAATTGAACCAAGCACGTCGGGACCACCAAGGTCACGTTCTGGCACCGGTACGCGTCATTCTTCCAAACGATCCGCTGTGAAACAGCCCGGGGCACCTTCGGCATCACAATCTCAGCCTCGACATCGGCCCCGCACTCGCTCTTCCCACGCTATTGCCCAAGGTGTCGAGACTGGCACGATTGGTAGTGGATATGGTCCTTATTCAGTAAGTATCTGTTTATTTTCTTGACAATTCTCTAATGCTACTGCAGTACAAACTTACCCAAGCCACTGATGGTGGAATGTATTTTACATCGCATTTTTTCACGCCTCCAGTCGCGCCTCCAGTGCAGACCAACGCAGTGGCCACCACTACTGTTCCCCGGGTTCAATACCTCTAGGACAAGGATCCAGAACTTGATGATATCCTCCATAATCCTGACCCCATCATCGATGCCAAAATAGACCGGTCCTGTCCCCTTTTCTCCTCGCGCGGCTGGGAGAACGTAAACGCACTCGAGATCACCCTTGTGGGGCTGATCGCTCTATTCCTTGGTTTTCCCATCGTCAGCCATTACACACGCACGGTCAACACTGTGCCTGGATATAATCTTGGCGAAATCAATTCCACTGGGCAGGTACCGGACCTTCCTGGGTTCCCGAAGCTCATAGATGTGGATACTCCCTAGGAGGCGTACTCGCGTACGAGGCACGATGGGAAGCAGTACAACTTGGTGTTCAGCGACGAGTTCAATACGGATGGACGTACGTTCTATTCTGGAGATGATCCCTATTGGGAGGCAGTTGACTTCAACTATTGGCCCACTGGTGATGTTGAGTGGTATGATCCAAGTGTATGTCTGCTTAGGCTATGTAGTAAACCATATTCCCATTCAATTTGTTGTTATTTAGGCAGCCATCATGCGAGATGGCAAGTTGGTGCTTACGATGACGGAGGAAAACATTCACGACTTCAATTTCAAGAGCGGTCCGTTTACATTTTAAAATCGATGCTCTCCGCGTAATTGACGTGCTGATAGCTATGGTTACCTCATGGAACAAATTGTGCTTTACTACCGGTTATATCGAAGTTTCGATCAGCATGCCTGGCAGTCTGAAGGCAGGCAGGTTTATGGCCTAGTGAGCTGATGGTGGTTCGTAGGTGCTCAATGACTTCTGACGACTTTTAACAGCTGCACGGACCATGGGAAACTTGGCATGAATCCTTCTCATCCCTTCCAAAGTATTGTTCTCACCATGTTGCAGGGTCGCGCTGGCTACGGCGCCATTACGGATGGAACGTGACCGTACAGCTACGACTCCTGTGACTTGGGCATATTCCCGAATCAAACAACAACATCTGGCGAACCAACATTATCCATTAGCTACCTCCCCGGGCCAACGCCTCTCTGCATGTACATGCGAGGGATCTGACCACCCAGGACCCACCACCAGCACGGGGCGGTGTCCCCGAAATTGATATCATCGTACATCAAATCGACACGACTATCTGGCAAGGTCAAGTTTGGCAGAGCTATCAGGTCTCACCATTCAATTATCACTATCAGGCTGATCATTCACCAAACGTGACGACTATTTACGATGATACGATAACCGACTTTAATACGTATAATGGGACTGAATATAGGGCATATGGGTATGAGTGGTATTCGAATCCGGATAATCGCGATGAGGGGTATATCACTTGGTATAGCGATGGTGTGGAGTCGTGGACAATGACGTCTGGAACCATAGGAGCCGATTCCACAGTGGAGATCAGCCAACGGCTCATCGCAGAGGAACCTTTAGTAGGTGCTGTTCCGAATATTTGCTCAGAGTCATTCGGAATTGACATACGTTATGTAGTACATCATCCTCAACCTGGGCATATCGCCCCAGTTCCAGGCACAGAATTACAAGCACCTCACCTTCCCGAGTTCGATGTACATCGACTACGTGCGGGTGTGTCAACGTTCTGGAACGGAGAAGCATTCAATTTCACCTACAGCGAGTTAGCCATCCATAACGTATGTGCAGAGAGCTACGACTCGCGAAGCTTCAAGTTCTCCCGGCTTTCAATGCGACAGCAACCAAGATGTTTGGATGTTGGGCGTGCGAAAAGGACAAGGACGATCGTCGGGTACCAGTAGGTGCAAATGATGATATAATCAAACCTTATTTTGACCACAACACAACCAACTGGAACTTGTACTCCAACAGGTGGGTACTGTGCATACTGTATTATTTATTATTCAACCTTTATATTACGCTCACGTTCAGCGGACTGGGCACCACGAAAATTTTGGCCGACTCATCACCTTGGATACCGACGCTGATTTTATATCTGTCGTTCTCGCGGCTCTCTAGTAGTATTTGCTTCCTAGTGTCGACTTCTGCCTCTAGAAATCCTCACGATACGATACATCATCAACTTCGATGGTCCCCTTCGGCATAGGACACTTTTAGCAGTGGTTGCAACATACGGCTGCAAGCAGGCTCTCCTCCCTCTGTCTGGATCACGTCAGGACCTGCCTTACTAGGGAAAAGCGCCTGAAGGTACCGAATTGGATTGCCTGTGTTCCTGGTCTATTCGGTGCGCCCTTGTTCCTTTCTGGCAGCCCCGCCATACCGTAATCAATTCGGCAACATCCTATAACGGCTATTCCTATGGATTGGTTACTACTCACCTAACAGTTGGCTTATAAGGCAGAAAAATCGTCGCGTCGTTCAACCAATCCATCAGATTGAGGCCTTTAAAAGCCCGGCATGTTCAGCTTGTTACCCAAATGCTGTCCCCCCACTTTTCCTTCAGAACGCTCCCTACAGACGTTCTGCACCTCTGCTCCCGACTCTTTTCCACCGTGGCTCGAGGAACCCAGCGATGGCAATGCCCAGACTGCACCGTGATGGTCTCCCGACGTCAAGATCTCGACAGACACATGAAGATACACTCCAAAGCTGCGGAGAAGTTAGCAGCTTGTATTCTTCCTCTTGGGTCATGCTCATCATTGAGGTAGCCACGGTGTTTGTCCAGATAGTCCGGTCATACCTCTCCAAAAGAGCAATCTTGACACTCACAGGCTCAGACACCAGTGCGTCCACTATTCTACTTATCTTCTTACTAAAGTGACACGCTCCATCAGTTCTGGTAACGAAGAGTACAAATGCATGGACGCCACCGACTGTACTTGGGGCGCAAGTACCCAGGACGCTCTCACTCGACATCGGAGAAAACACCAAGCCACCATTCCACCTTGTGGAGACAGTATTTCCAACGGCACTCCCTTCGAAATTGAACCCACCGCCGATCCCTCACCTTCATCGTGGTTGAACCATGTCAACGCTCCAGCCGATGGCACCGACCCTAGCGGAACGTTCGTAGACAGTGGAGCATCCCCATTCGACGGACCCTCACGAGTCACACCCGGGAACGAGGATGACTACTTCTGGACCTCCCCCGAGACAGGCTTCCAACACGGTAATACACGCTACTCCCCCGAGGCCAAACAGCTGTACCCCGCCGCAAGCGCCGGTCCCTCTCTCGACGATGATGAGATCGTTCCCATCCCGTCCCTAGGAGGAAATTTGGAGGAGGTTGGCATCAGCTTGGTCCCGCTCATCAACAGCGATCCCTTTGGATTAATAGCAGACGCGATGGCCAGCATGAACGCGTTCAACATGCTTGTCCCTGCTGAGGCTCCCACCGGACCGTATTACGCACATGACCCGGATCCCCACGCGTCTTCATCTTGGGATGGGCCGGACTTTGGAATGGCGTAATGGACAGTGGGATTTGGACCGTTTGAGGCCTTTGGACGAGGACCGATCTACTCGTGGAGGATATCGACGAGCGAGGACTGTATCATCGTTTACCATTTAGCAAAAAGTAGGACACGTCTTCATGGACCTGGTTATGGGCTCTCCTTTGTGCCCCGTTTTGGACGACTTCTCGTTATGGCCGTATGCCCCATTTGGATCGTACTTGGTATTTTTCTCTTTACTTTCCTGTTTACATGGTATCTACGTACCTTGGCCTAGTCGACACCTTGACCAGTTTTCTATAGGTTCGTCTTGTATAGATTTCTCATCGGGAATGTGCAGTACTACAGTTCATGAACTGAGTACTGAGCCCTTAAAGTAGTCCGAATAGCGCTGGATTCCATCCGTGAGTACTTTTGATGTCCTATTTATAATACTCTACGAATCAGTGTATGCAGACTGGTTATCGCAACTGTTTCTTAAATGTATGTGAAACAGTTCCTCTGAGCCAGCGACCGTCAGAAAATTCCCCTCGCCCGTCTGGTTGTATCAACAATTCATTTCTAGAGTATCGTGACGCGTAGAGCAACAGTGAGATTGGTTCTACGTTTGGACGTGCGCCTACAATGCTGGTACAGATTTCAAGTCGCGCTCATCTCCTTCGATCAGAGTCCAGTTCACGACTTCTCTTCATATGGCCAGTTTTACGAAACTAGATAGCACTTCCGCTTTCATGCAGAGGCAAGAATACTGTTAAGGAGAATGTAAAACGTAGTGAGTTGTTATTTTATGTATTTTGATATTCAGATCTTTTGAACTTTAGTCCAAGAAACCTTGAAAAATATTTGGCTGTATAGCTTCCAGGTCCTCATTGGCCACATCACTATATCACTTTGTCCACTCAATGTTCAGAGGTACCTATAGTGATTGTCGAAGATGTGATACTGTAAAGTGCTACCTCATCTACCCACGAAATCACCCTATCAACTTCTCCTGCCAGCAGCTTTGCAAATTGGTGAATCTTTCCGGTGGCAATGTCTTTGCTCTATTCTTCAGTTGGGCACTGGGAAGTGCTATTTGTGACTGCTTCAAAGATGATATCATCATCCAAAGTGACCTTGGTGCATGGTCATAGTAGCATGCCCTTCATCACTGCAGTAAATGCTGGAGAATATCCATATGTATACCTTTACCTTCTCTTTTTGATTATCACTTGGTTTCATTTACTATATCTTTCAACTATCACTTATTCCTACTTACTACAGTTGACTATTGCACAATGCATGATATTGAAATGCATAGGTCTGACTTTGCATACAGATTGAGCTGGAACACAGTCAGAGAGCAGGGAAATGGGCTAGAAATGCATATGGTTTTAGTTAGAAATATGCATTGTCAGATCCAAAACTGTAGTAAGCCAATATGACATTATGCATGTATTAGAATGATGAAGAACATAATTTGTTTGTATGGACTATGACAAACAGAAAAAAAATTATTGTAAAGTGGTGCAGTCTATATCTCTATAAACATGTCTCTTAAACCAACACAAAAACCATGTGCTAAATCTGCAAATCCATATGAGCATATAAAACAGAAGGAGAAAGTCCCAATGTACACATCATCAGCTCAGCCTCCAAAGTAGACCTCCCACTCATATCTCACAACAGGAGACTGGCTTGTAGTATTCAAACATGTTGATGACCATCCTTTCTATTGACATGCTGACATTGTGGCATATTTGACAAACTGAAAGGAAGGTGCACTGCTCTTTATACAACCAACTCTTTCATAAAAACTGGTGTTAAGCCCAAACTCCATATGACTGATAACACATGATAAACTAACAGAACCTCATACTTCAGGTTATACTGTTAGAGTTCACTGATGCACTATTAGTATTGTGTGATCAAGGCATTTGCAAGTTGCTCGAGATAAGATGGTGAAGAATAAACTTTAGCTTGAAGCTGGTGTATTACAGTGAGAGCTATGCTACTTAAATACTGTTCTGTTATCTGACTATTAATAAATGTTCACAAAAGATATTGTCTGCCATAGAGCTGTTACTCCTGCTGTTGCCAGGCTCTCCACAAAAGCTGTTGTCTTGCTGTTGTGCTGTTACTGCTGCACCTTGCTGTGAAGAGATAAGAGAGGCTTCTCTCCCATTGTGCTGCCACATGACTTCACAGCAGTGACCAGAATCAGGGCAGTGCTGATGACTAAGCATTCCCACAATCCTAAGCACTGAGTCTAGGTGCTCTGACTAAGCAGAAATAGGAGTCAACCCTGAATAAATCAAAGAAAGAAAGAAAGAAAATAGGAAAAATCATAACAACTGGCATCTCATACAAAAATCAAACAGCATGCAAATGAGAACTCTAATACACTGTCATCCAAAAAGTCTCACATTGTCATCTGATCTGATGTGGAGTATGCTGTTGCATTCTGGTATCAGAACATGCAGCTCTGAGGTGAGACTATGACTGGTGCAATGCTGATAGAGAAGCAAAATCAGATTGAAAATCTAATAGATGTTTCAGAGGATCAGTATTTGAAAGGAGAGACATGGTTGAGGTCATTCTGCAAGGCAGAGAAGATTTAGAAGGTTTGGTGGCATGAAGAAGCAGGCTCAGTGGATATGGTGGCAGTGGAAAAAGAACATGTGCATCTTCACAGCATTATGGTGAAATATGTGATGTGGGACAGGTGGAACATTAATGAATCTAGTCTTGTCATTTTTGCCATCTCAGATTATACCTTGGCATCTGGTCCTATGAGTTGATGGAAACAGGACAAGTTCCACATCATCATGTGTTTTGCTGTGAATGCAGATAGGAGTGAGCAGATGCCAGTTATTTTCATTGAAAAGTCAAAGCAACCACAATGTTTCAAGAAAAAGAGTCTGATAGCAATGGGATTCTATTATTGGAATAACAAGAAGGCCTGGATAACAAGTGAATTATTTATGGAGTGAGTGAAGATGTTTGATTTAAAGATGAAGAGAGAGATATGGCAGATTCTGCTGACCTTGGACAACTTTCAAAGGCATTTCATCACTTATACACCCCATAACACAAAGCTGGAGCTCTTTGAGCCCAATATGACTTCATATGTTCAGCTGCTAGATGCTGGTATTATCTGCTGCTTCAAGACACATTATTGAAATGCCATATGTATCTATGCACTTGATCTCAATGATTTTGGAGAGTCTGAAATCTTTAAGCTTGATCTCCTTAAAGCTATGACTATTGCTCATGATGCTTGAGCAAATGTCAGTAGCAAAATGATAGCAAACTGCTAGGAACACACTGGTGTAATGCCTAATAATGCATCTGAGTCATAGTCCACCACATCATCCAATGATTTCCAAGACACCTCACTTTTTAAGTCTGCATAGAATCTTGTTTATGACTCTGCTCTCTACAGACAAATATGTGCCTCCAGAGATTGAACAGACATTGCAGAATCTGCTTGAGAACCAATACACTGATGCTGACTGGCATCCTGCTCTTATAGCTGTTATGAATGCAGAGAATGATGTTGGTAAAGCACTGGAGACAGTCAATCAGTTGGCTCCTTTATCACAGTCAAAAATGAATATATCTCCCATCCAAATTGCTCCCATTCAACAGCTCCAGACAGCAGAGATAATATTGAAGGACTACCTTGTTGAATTAAAACAATAAAATTGCATGTTTGATCCTATTCTAACTATTGAAGAGATAGTTAACTCTATTGTGGAAGAGTATATTGAAGATTTTGAGATGATGCCAACAGATGAGAAGATTGTTGCTGCTGTCAAGCATAATATTGCAGTAGAAAATAGAGAAGTAACTATCATTGATGATGATGAGGAGGAAGAGAAGGGTGAGGAAAAACAGATCTTGATAACTACAAGAGAAGGGTTTGAGCTTATTTGAAAGCTGGAGGCATTTTGTGTTTCACAAGGTGACCAGAGTGGATTAGTATCACAGCTGAGAAAGTTGAGAAGGCATTATTCAAGAAGATGCATGGAAAGCTGATCTAAAAGCCACTGACAGCATTTTGAGGCAATGACAACAATATTGTCATATAAGTCACATATCACAATATGTGCTATTTTGGTTCTGCATAAATCTATAAATGCATATGGTTTTGGTGTCTTTCAATCATATACATTGTGAGATAGTCAACTGTATATATGTATACAACTCCTGTCACTACTCAATCACCTATATAGCTTGGCTATAGATACCTGTATACTTCAGTCATTTCACTTATGCTGTGCCTGACTGAGATATATATACTATTACTGTATCCTTTATTATATTATTCACTCTTATTTATAGAATATTACTTATATTTTTCTATCAATAGGTTATGAGTACCATTGCTTAAAGTCTCAGTCAAGAAGAATACACAGTGAAAGTACAACTTAATCTACCACTCTAACTACAATATTATATCACATTACAGTGCTCTCACTATTATTATCACACCTCTAATCAATATCATTGACACCAAGAGTTACAATTCTCCTGGACACAAGTAGCCACTTCAATGAGAAGAACTATGCCTTCTGAAAGCTATAGATAACTAAAAGAGTTATAAGAATACATCAAAGAAACTACTACTTGCCTCACCATCTCCAGAGCTATTACAACTACACCTGCAACTGTACTATTATTATCAGACCTCACCTCCATCTACTCTTTCTCTATTCTACAACAAATGGGTTTTTTATGATCAACTGACTTACTCTCATATCATGCTCAATATTCTTGACTCTATTAGACTAGAGATCAAAACAGATGGAATGGAAAAAATGCTAAGAGTCTATTAGCACTAAACATGCTAAAAAGACTGATATGGCCCTGTCAGAGGCTGAAGCATCACTAAACTCTATAAGGTTCAATAGGAATAGTGATATAAATGCTTATGTTGCTGACTTGCATACAAAATGACATGCTGTTAATGATCTTCATATGATAGTCCTGAGTGACCAAGAGTTTAAGAGGATAATTATTCACTTTATCACTTCTACAGATTATTGGATGCCTATTCTTGTTATGCTACTATCAAACAATCACAAAGGTCTGACACTGCTTCTGCCAGAATCTGATTTTGAGTGCTGTTGTTGATACTGAAGAATGAT